TCAAATAATAAGTTTTCAACTTCATTTACTGATTGCATAAATTATTGTCGTGTTCTGCTCTGAATTAAGCTTTCAACATAATTTTGCTTCAACTAGGGTTGTAGGTTAGGGTTACGAATTGATATGCGTAACTTACACAATTAATGGACATTTACAGAATTTCCAATCAATCTTATCTAAAATCATGCATTTGGTAGGTTTTAAGCATATACCAACATGCATACAAAATACCGCTGCTTGCAACTATATTCACTCAGCTGAACTATGCCAAGTTGTCTTGCTTTACATCAACACGAGAAAAATTAAAATAGTTAGTCCCTTTGATAAATTTTAGCACTGCAACATAAAGGTAAAGTTTACCAAAACTATGTGATATATTGATCCAATACATCCCAAACAATCTGATTACACGTATACCTGTTCAGACATTTATAAATGAACATTAAAGGGTCAACAAAAAACACTGAGGAATAAAAATGATATTGCTAATAGTGATGGGTAATAAAAGGTTCTTCAGATAAGAATTTTTAAGAGGAGACAGTGTGTATATATTGATACAATGCTCATACGTACAAAATCCTTCGCTGAGTCTACGAAATTCCTCTCTGTCAATAACAAAGAGACCTCTCATTTCATATCTTTCTTTCTACGAACCAATTTTTTCTTCTTGTACTATATCTCTATTTGCAATCTTTCTCTTATATATTACCACCTTTGACCTAACCACTGCTATGAATCCGGTGTTCATCTTGTTGTGCTGATGCGGTATGGCGACCTCGACCGATGCACATATGTGCCTGATCCTACGTTGTAGCTGACTGACTGACTGACATTTCCACACCCAGGTCCTTTCAAACACAAACATTTGAATGACCTTATAGACGACTCAATTCAGAGAGAAGGCCTTCGGTCGACCCTAATGGTTGTTTCTGGTAGCATGATATACTTGGTTTCATTAACCGGATGATACACCGTTAGTAGTCATTCTAGAAAAGTAAGTCCCGTCGTCCGCTAATATTTCTACCTCTATAAAATGGCCACGTCTTTAGATGCACACATGCCGTTATATAGCTTATATTCTGTGGGATAGGGTGTATACTTGATATATGCATTTTGTGCGCACTTTTTCAAGTTATTGCTTATTGTAAGATATGAAACGGAATTTTATCCAATGAAATTTACCCTCACTGTCCGGCATACAGCTTACATACTAAAGATGTACTTTTTACTTACTGTTTATATATTTAATTGTTCGTCGATTACTCATTTATGTTAACTTTGCTTTGTATTAGTGTAGGTACGCGTAAACACGACGGAAACATATAATCATACAATCTTACCCATGTATCTTAGTTTATTCGCGTTTAATCTTCTACTGGAATTGTCAGTTGGTTATCCTAGTCGGTTGACTTTCGAGTTACCTGATAATGAAGGTATTTGCTTCTACGAAGATCTTCCAGCTTCAAAAAAGTATGTATTTAGCTATCATGTCATTCACGGAGGTCAAACTGATGTGGATATCGTGATTAAAGATCCTAAACAAGTGATTATTTCTAATGTAGAACGTGGTTCAGACGATGATATCACTTTCACAACAATTCCTTCTAATGGCACTTATTCTTTTTGTTTCAGTAATGAGTTCTCTTCTATATCACACAAACTTATATATTTTGAAATTCGGCCGGAAGATTTTGAATCATTAGCTGAGGAGGCTGGATTACCGGTTTTCCCAACTGTGATGACTTTATTGGATAGTGTTGTGGAGGTGTTGCATCATTATCTGTCACGGGCTGAAAGTTTCGGGATCGAGTTGAAAAATCGTGATTATGGTGATTTCTTGGTAGCGGAAGATTTGAATTCAGCTGTTTTTGTTTGGAGTGTCATTATTACATTTGTTGTGATAATAACTTCAGTTGGACAAGTCACAATATTAAAGAATTTCTTCAGTGAGAAAAAAGTTGCTTATTCGGCAATCCCAACAAGTTATCCTGCCCATACTTTGAGAACATGATTTGGAGTAAATTCTAGCATTATTTCTGCTATATAGGATAGTTGGGATTAGACAATGACAAGCATGGGAAATATCGACTCTCGTTCATCTTTATTTTCTTTTTTGGTCTATCGATTCTGATCTTATTTCCAACCAAACTTCTCAAATTGTTAACCTGTACAGATTCAGTTTTTAAAATTTCGATTTGTATTTTAAACTTTGTCTTGTCTTTGTGGCGATTTGTTCCTCTCAGACACATTAGTTTAGTTTGTGTTATGAAAAACATTCTTTTGGCTAGTGGATATTTGCTGACGATCACTGATTGTTAGTTTACTTTTTATTAATAACTGAATTGTATCTGATGTTTACATGGTACAGATGGTTAACTGGCTAACGTAGCTTACAACTGACCATATTTTAGAACATTCATGTTATTTTTTAGTCTGTACTGTTTAAAAATTTGGCTAGTGTGGAAGTATAAACTATTCCGAGTTACCCGCTTTCCCCTTTTAGCTTACATGAAAATTTGTTCACCACACGAAGCTTCTTGGGTAAGTGTGTGTCATGGAAATGCTCTGTGGAGGCTGAATTCTTTGTACTCTCCGGCTGTAGCAGGGTTTTTAATTCCTAGTGTGCACCCGATCGCTGCTTCACGAACAATGTAAGCCTACATCCTCATTACGTTTCTCAGAAACATTACCACAAGGTTATTTAGTCTTCTTAGAGGATAAGTTTGTGGTTATTAGGTGGAATCTTATCTTCCACGGACTTTTTGAGAAGTTCTGAGTCATATTTGATTACGTCAAAAGCCACTTAGTTGAACTGTCTCTGAGACTCTGTCCAGGTAATCGTAATGGACTAATATTTTATAGTCCCATACAATTTTCTTTCAAACCACGAGGCTACAAACTGACCACTTGTTCGCTTTTCTTACCTCATCCCAGCGTCGACAACACTGCACTGTGTGGAAGTTGCTTGGATGACACACGTAACATATCCAATCCTATGTTTCAATATGGTTACATTAACCAAATTATTACTACTATGTCTAGACGCACAATACTGGCATAGTTTTACAATTGAACGCCAGCAATTCAGAGACAACGACGATCGAACACAGAATGTCGCCGAACATCCTTGACTCGAACAGGTCAGGTTTCGCAAACACAGCAGGACTGCTATCACCAAATCATTGTAGACCCGACCATTTGCACTCAGAATGTCGTCAAAGATGGTCCAATATAGGTATATAGGTCTCATCATTCACGCCACCACCAACGCTCATCGAACTACCCGAACACACGAACTTTTCAACCACCTTTAAGAGCTCACCACTAAGAGTGAGGCTTCTGCCAATCGTAGAAATACTCTGCACTTATAAAGTGCAAAGTATATGCCATGCCTACTGACTGGACGCGATTTGCGTAGTATGTGTATCATCGCATATTAAGACAATATCACACATATTACACATGATTCGCTGGAGTATCCCAAGCAGCTGTAGAGAAGCATTGCTTATAAGCGCAGGACGTTTTGAGAAGTCACATGAGACGTGACCTGCAATTTTCATAACGTCTTGCAAACGCAGCCGGTGTTCATCCATACTTTTCGGTGAATTGAAAGCTAGGCTTGATATTTAGTTATTATATGTGAAAATTATATTTGAAATATTCTCAGCGATTGAAATTTAACTAATTCCAACGTTTCGTCCAGCTAACTTGTCTGGACTTCTCTATACTCGGCGCTCAATTACTGTCAAACTATTCGTTCTAATCTTGACGAATATTCGTATAAATTGATATTTAGTTGCAACAAAATCTGCAGCCAATTTACTCAAAACAATCTGTTTAGGACGATGAACATTTTGGCCACTGAGACGTAACATGAGATTAGTGTAAACAAGGGTATGATCAAAGTCCAGGTATGTACTTCAAAAGGAACAGTATAACCACGCCAACAGTAACTGGTCACGGTGTGGTTAATCTGAGTCGACGACTGGGTTGCAGAGGTAGGGTTCCAGGTAGCACATCAGCGATAACTGTGCAGGAAATCTGACGTTCAGAACTAGATTTTGGTCTTCTCAAGTTTTCAGGAGACCGTCATCGTCATTTTTTCTGCAATCAACGAGTCCCTACTGGTCACCCAAGCTTTCGACCAAAGGATCTAATCCACAGTAGAGTGAAGTGACATCACAAAATGCAGTGCCATGGCAGCCGGTGACCAATGTCTGTTAATGAACTTTATTTTCACATCCTAGAATTCATATGCATCACCGGCTTAGAATAAGGGTCTTTTTAACTTGCATCCATACCCGTTAACCCGCTTCGGTCGCTGGATATTCGTCTTTCATCACCCCACTTCTGTAAAAAGCACCCTCACTGTGAGAATGGAGTGGATTGAAGTCCTCTGTCAGTGGTTATGAATGCGTAGCCATATGAAAGCATTTCGTGAGGAAGAGAGAACTCTGTCTACCCTTACTTGTACTATGACATTTAGAGGTCCAGTTTCGTTTATCGATTCAACTCTCCACTCAATCGTGGCATTTACTTAGTTGTCTCACAATACGTCACTGGTACTTCGAAGTTTTTGCGACTGAAGATAAAGGTACGGACATCTTATGTCCTCGGACAATTGGGAAAAGCTAGACGGGCTTTGTATCCGTGCCAAAATTTCTTAACAACCCAGCAGTGTTGTTAAGATTCACAAGATAAAAATTACTTAAAGTAGCTCGTTCTCCAGGTACTCGGGTATAAGCCACACAATTATTGTAAAGGCTAATAAAACCACCAAGCTGACGCTAACTATCTCAAGCCACTATTCTTCAGGGCATCCCATGTCAGCTTATCAGGCCTTACTGCACTTCCACTCTTCAAGTTTATTATAGCTTTCTAGTAGTTAGATGCCAAATTTCTCATTCCGTCAGCCGAGTTTAGTAGTATGAATACACAGTTATTAGTTTCCTTGTCTTCTACAGTGGTAATTTGAATGTGACCGTTTTATTATGACTCATATGAGGTACGACCTCAAAGGTACCATTATTATTTGTTTTTTAGTCGTAACAGTAAATCACGTCCCCCACGTCGCTCACATCCAGCTCGTCCCCAAAATTCCGACCAGTGGGATACCAATTGTCAATTCAACAACGTCGATTCATCTCTTGGTAGTCAGAAGTTACGTAGTGGTGGTCAGGGTAATTATTCTGCCAGACAGCAGTCGGCGCAAGTAGTATATCAGGAATAGAGATCCTTGCACACTTTTACTGGATGTTTGTGTGTACCTCTTTAAGTTGAGTTAACGAAAAAACTTCATGTATTACATTCTCATATCTTCATTTCTTGTTGTTGTTTGAATATTGTTTCTTTTGTTACTTTCCCGGAGTTATATATATATATATATATATATATATATATATATATATATATATATATATATATATATATATATATATATATATATATATATAGTCTCATACCGACAATGTTGTCTGGTTTTTCGCAAACATTATTACTAATATCCAATCTCATCTTCATTTCTTACACACGAATACGTTACACATGTTTATACAACATTACAATTTCTTAAACCTGTGATTAGCATGCATATCTTATGTGGTTCATTAGTTTATTCGCGCTCAAGTAGCAGTACTTCATTTTAACCGGTTCCAGTCATCTCATTCAGTATCAAGATTTTTAAGCAATAAAAAGACAACCACTTCAGGTGTACTCATAAGAAACTGTTATGTCTTCATTTCTGTCACCTTCTAAGAATAATCACCTTTGAACTAACTACTTATCCACCGGTAACTGCGTTTTTCCATCTAAGTGTATTAACTAGTTCTAATTTATTCTATACGTTATCTTCTGAATAAACAATTTCTCTTCGTTACAATCTTTTCTTCATACATTTTTTCATACTTTCCTTTGTTAATGTGCCTTTTCAAGTCACTTGAACTTTTTAGAAGTATTTGTTATTTCTCATGCAAAAACTGATGAAAGCATAAAAGCTTTTGTCATTTCACAGTGGATAGTTTGTAAATTTTACTTATGTCTATGTGTTAAGCATGCTTGTGTGTATATGTGTGTGTTGTTAGCACTCTTCAACTTGTCAGTCTTCCGAACTCTTTCTAAAAAAACATTGTGGTATGAGTGGCCTTTTAATGTAATATGCTACTCATTCATTTTATTGTATTGGGTTTATCCATCTTACTGCTAACTTGTTCTTTTCTGTTCATGCGCCTCTTGCATATTCGTTAATTAAGTTGCATTTTCGTCCTTGTGTTTTTCTTACGGGCGATATACTGCCTGGTTGACGCATTCAGCAACTAACAGTCCTTTTAGCGAACGAACGTCTTACAAACATCAGTACTAACTTTTTTGATTGAGATCATGAACCGATTGATGTTAGACCACCATCGAAAACCCGGGTGCACTGAACTGTCGTTTCATTCTATTGTGGGACTTCTTAGCAATGCGCGTCCACGACCCCGCTCACGAGATTCGAACTCAGGGCCTTCAGTCTCGCGCGCAAACGCTTAACCTACCGGACCACTGAGGTGGCATCCAATGTTGTTAATGTCTAACCTCAATCAATCCACGAAATTGCGCGTCCATCTTCTATTGTACTGAGCTAGATACCTGTCTCTACCCGACACGGATCAGCTCCACTGGTCACGGCTTCCCACTAGAACTCCGAGAATTCCCTCACGAAGCTAGTTACCAGCGAGGTTTTCAATCGTGGTCTAACATCAATCGGTTCATGATCTCAATCAAAAACTTAATAATCTCCACAACCTCTATGCTGATAATCAGTACTAAGTGCCTATCAAGTGCCTTTTTAGTATTCATTTATTTTTCATATCAGTTTACAATTTATCAGGTTCTTAGCGATCAGAAGTTTCATGAAAATGGCCAACATATTATGTAAAATTGTGTTTGATTAACACTCACTGAAGAACTTCGGAACTGATATAACGGATGGTTTAAAGTATTATTCTCGTTCTCAGATATTATACGATAATGAGACTAGTCATGTCGTACCAGATTCAAGACTTGCGAACCAAATTCACACTCCATAGTGCTTTATTCAATATAATTGCAAGCAGTGAGTCCAGAGTGTAACTCAACGACAGGAAAGATAACCACAAATTTAATAGTCAGTAGGTTAAGTGCTTGTTTATCCACACTCAGTGGCCAATCATATTTTGCCTCCAATACCATGTATTAGGAACGTTTCGTTATAAATGGATATCGAGCTGCAAGAGAAGGGAATATGATACAACGGAGAAACTAGCAGAGAAATATAGTAAACAAGAGAGACCAGTCAAGGACAAAGAAGACAGACCAATCAATGAGATTTACAAACGGCAGAATAAGTGGGTAGACCACTTCAAAGAACTCCTGAATAGATCAGCCCAACTGAACATTGAAGCAACACGCTGTGATGATTGGAAGTATTTGAATTATTATACGAACTAGGAATCCCAGAAACAGTGCAACTTAATTCGAGAAGAACTAGGTGAACACAAACGAACGTATTATATTTGCAAGTCAGTCAGCTACAACGTAGGACCAGGCACATATGTGCATCGGTCCAGGTTGCCATACCTCATTAGCACAGCAAGATGAACAGCGGATTCATAGGAGTGGTTAGGTCAAAGGTTGCAATAAGGATATAGTATAGGAAGAAAGAATTAGTTCGTAGACAGAAAGAATGAAGTGATTTTAGTCTCTTAGTTTAAGGGAAGACAGAGAGTGTATACACCGACGCCATTGTGATCGATTCTGAGCCATGATACCAACAGTCTCCAACCATTGGTTACGATAGTCACGCGGACCCCAACCAAGTAGTCTGCATCAACCGACATGGCTACGACTAGAAGTTAGTGACTTCAAGCACTGATGCCACGTTTTGGTTTGGCCGCCCCTAACTTTCTTCCAATCATTTCCAGTACCGGATAGCATTGCACGTCGTGGTAATCGGTGGTTCGCCTTTCAATGACAGACACTGCCACAGAGTCTCGCGGTCTACAGAGTCAAATGCTGCTTTTAAGTCAAGAAAGACCACCATCGTCGGACGCCGATAGGTATGCCTGTGTTCTAGAACCTGACGAATGGTGAATATGTGGTCGATGCAGCCACGACCAGGTCTAAAGCCAGCTTGGTTCTCTCGTGTTTGTAGTTCACGAGTCTTAGTTAGGCGTTTGATAATTATCGAGGCCAGTATTTTAGATACTATGTTTGTTAAACTAATCCCTCTGTGGTTGTCACAGGATGATTTTGACCCTTTCTTATATATTGGGACGATAAGTGATTGCGACCAGTCAGATGGGATAACGTCTAATTCCCAGATCTTAGCTAAAATATTAGTCAACCTAATCGCTAAAATTGGACCACCATCCTTAAAGACCTCTGGAGCCAATCCATCTGGACCAGCTGCCCTTCCTCGTTTCAGATTAACTATAGCCTTCTCAACTTCAGCAAGAGTTGGGGGACCTACTTCAATGTTCCATTCACACTGTCTGGGAATGGAGGGTAGTTGTAGAGTAGCTGAAGGCCAGCTGAACTGTTCTCTAAAATGTTCCGCCCATCGTTCTAAACGTCTGGACTGGGAGCAGATGAGAGTATCATCTTTTTCCGAAATAATCTCACTTACACTTGACTTATTAATTCCAGTTTCTTTTATTAGTCTGTAAAGCTGTCTTGTGTTCCCTATAGTCGCCGCCTTTTCCATCTCTTTTGCTTTCGTTACCCACCACTGCTCACGGTCGTTCCTTAGACTTTTTCTTAACCTAGATCTGATTTGTTTACGCTCTTCATCATGTTCAGAACCTGATGGGACGAGTTTGCGAGAATCCATCAGTGTGACAGACCTTGAAGAAATCCACTGGTTCCTTGTAACTCTGTGGTTTAAGTCACTAATAGATGTCACTGCTGTTTCCACAGCTGATTGTATGCCCTTCCAAGCAACATCTGGGTCAGCCTCGTCTTCACAACTACCTAAGTGTGACCTCAGTTGTTCCTGGAACCTACTTTTGGTTTTCTCGTTACTCAACTCAGTTCTAACGGGTCTTTTTAATGTGGCTTTTTTGCGTCCAGTGAGGCGCAAGCAGATGCGTGCCCGTATTAGGGCATGGTCGGAGTCCAAGCAGGTACTCCAGAATGAGCGACAATCTTCTACCGACCCTCTCCAACGATGACTGATGGCAATATGGTCTATTTGAGTCCATCGTTGGTTTGGTGTAGGGGGTCGCCATGTTAGACGATGTCTCTCCTTATGCTTAAAATTTGTGTTTGCTAAAAATAAACGATTGTCTGAGCATAGCTGCAGCAGACGATCACCATTATCTGTTCGCTGTGTCGGAATACTAAAATATCCACCTAAATGCCTTTCTGTTTGGTTTAAACTGCCTATCTGAGCATTAAAATCACCTGCTACGAGTACTATGTCTGAGCGTTTAGCTTTCTGAAGAAGTTCGGACAGCTTTCTGTAAAATTCATCTTTCACTTCATCTGAGCTGCAGTCAGTGGGAGCGTAGGCAGAAACGACAAAAAGGCAACGACGTGTGTCCCTATCCTTCCGAGTTCTTACGTAGCCGTTCAGCCGAACAGCACATAGACGACTGTTGACGGGGATCCACTCTAGCAGTGCTTGTTCGGCCCTCATGCTTAGTGCTATGCCTACACCTGCCAGTCCACGAGAACTTGCCATCGGGTCACCAGATACACGAAGGGTGTATCTCGTTGGCTCTCCGTTTGCCGAGGTGAGGTCAAGTGAATGACCACACTGGAATCCTGTATGCGTGTTTCGGAGACACAGCATACATCAATGGAAAGAGACTCTAGGGTTTTAGCCAAGGAAGCCTGCTGACCGATTTGACATAGGGTGCGTACGTTGAAGGCTCCAATGTGTAGTTTGGAGCGAGGTTTCAGTAGACCTGGGACAGTGTTTTGCGCACTAGAATCGTTGGCTACGGTGACACTTGAGGTGGAAGCCGAGAGAGGAAATAGAGTTGAAAGTCGATGTAGGAGGAATAATAGGAATTGAAGAGGAGGTTGATTATGAATACAGTGGTCTTGAGTGCTGTTAGAAGTATGAGGGCGGTTATCACTTCCCGGTTGCCCACACCGTGGAAGGGTTGTTCTGGAGGTACCTGAAAAGGAAATTGGATTAAAGGTGGTCTTAGTGACCTGAGAGCGTGACCGCAGTGCCCAAG